CTCACAATATCAAAAAACATGATATTTTATTTTTTTTTTTTTAAAACTACGTTTTGTAAAAAAAAGCCCCGAGCTTCAAGGGGGGGGGGGGTGCGCACCCCCGGCATCCTCCCCCTAGATCCGACCCTGAGGGCTATTGAAAGTAGAGAACCGTGCATTTTTGGCGATTAATCAAGCTTTAATTAGTAAATCCAATAAAGGCAGCTATTAATTTGGAATGTATATACAGAGGAACCTCGACATAACGAACCTCTATATAACGAAGTCCTCAGTATAACAAACGATTTTTTTAATTGGTGAGGTTTTGAATTTTATAAAGCTCTTGCTTATAGCTGTATACCCAACATAAATTGTTAAAACAAGCAACCTCGTTTCCAGTGTTCTCTCTCTTACCTTGAGAAAGAACTCTGGTTGCGGCTAGTCACGTGCCTCCCACGGTGGTTTTGCCTCAAGGACCTCAAGAGTGGGGTAGTGCGTATACCTTGTTTCCTAACAGGTCCGCCGAGATGACTGACGGCAGCGAAAAACGAAAACATCAGTTAACTTTTGAACTTCAGAGTTCGGGTGTTTTTAAAAACCCTACCCTGATGAGGAGTCCATTATCACAGAAAGTCACATGACCAGCTGCAACCAAAGTTCTTTCTCGAGGCAAGATAGAACGCTGGAAACGAGATTATAGAATAATCGAATTTCTCAGACGTTCCCGTTCTGCAACCGCAAAATAAACGCAGCAGGTATGAAATGAGAAATGGTTATGAAGCCTGTCAGATCTCTTTGTTATATGTTTGTTTGTTCGACGGTGCACAGCGTTCAATGACATTCCTATCATTTTGCTTTTTTTGTTTGTTTGTTGCTGTTGTTGTTGTTGTTTCACAACGTTGCATTAATTTATTCAATCAATTTCTTATCAATTTTTTAAGCTTCCAACTTAATCAAGATAAACTGCGGCACCGCTGATTTGATCTTTTAAGTTTGCCGGCTTTCATAACCAGTTTCCTCTACTAAGGCTGCAATTATGATGGGACATGATGGTATATGCCCCATTTCCATGCTAATGTATATGTATTACATATTCTTTACAGATGTATACTGGCACAAAGAGCACACTATTTACTTACTAGTGGATCTTTTTTGGCCAGTAGTTTATTTTAAGCTGTTTCGTGTTTAAAGGAGCTTTGTCACGAAATTCAGCCAAATTAGGAAATTACAAAATGCCTGTTAAATTAAGAGAAACACACCATCAACACCGTTGTTTATGGGCAGGCTTCGTCACTTAAAAATCGCTGCGCTCTGCATACCAGCTTTTGTGAAAAGAAAGAGGAATGGTCCAAAGGAATTCCAGGATGTTCTGAAAAGAGAAAGGTAGGAAAGGTTAAAACTTATACCAGGAGTGCTTCGTATTTGTGGGAACTGGCCGTTTGAGCCGAACAATTTACAAATTTAAAATCTCCGAGTGAGGTGGGATTCTAAAAAAGAGAAGAAAAATTGGAAAACATCTTTTAACGGTTATGCTCGTTTTCCAGCCTTTTAAGGTAGTCCAGTTTTCGTCCTGGTGTTCGTTTCAGAGTTCAGTCGAAAGACCAGGAAATTTTTCGGACTCAAAGCATTTTCGTGACCCCTTTGGGGGAACATTTCGAGTCCAAAGTTTACCCGAAACTTCCAATTGCAGGAAACTCACCAATGGGCTCATATAACGGCTGGTAATTGGGCTTAAAAAGTAGCATAAGAACGGGACTTCCTGAGACCCCTCTCCGGATTCCACAAGCAAACATTTCCCGGATTCTGGAAACCGGATTACCTTCCATGGGCGAAACATAGTTTCAGCTGTTTTGATCTGGTTTCTTAATTAGTTTGCTTATTGTGCATGCCGCTTGACTCGTTGATTATTTTATATTTAGATGTACAAGTATTTAACACCTGGTCAGAAGAAGTTTGTTTTCAGAGGAGCAGATCCGTTATTTCCTACTGTATTATAACGCTCAGAGCTTAAAGAGCTAAGGCTTCATTGAACATGTACATGCTCCCTTACTAATGGTTAAAGACAACTTGTTATACTTTTGTTAATGACCAGTTTCAAAATGTGCAGCAATAAATCGTGGTTTTGTACCTGTTTTACTCGTACTGTACAATTAGCTTGATAACCACAAAGTTTTCCAGGAACAGACTGAGACCGTGTTCAAGTTTTTCAAACTGAGTTTACTCTCGCTGCTCAAGACTATAGGTGCATGTATAATAACGTTGACAAGTTTTGTACTTTTACGAAACGTTAGCAATAAAGGGTTTAAATAAAGTAGTCAAATATCGGGAAGTCCTAAGATTAGAGGATTTCGAAATCCAAGCAGTACAGATAAAGGGTTGTATGAGAAATTTTAGCATTCAGGTAATATGACTGTAGAGTTTAAAATTATATTCATTTGGAACTAAATTGAGCCTCTGTATGGGTATTTCCGAGGGCATCGAAATTGCGACGATCGCTCAAGTTGGTGAAGAGACGATCGAATTACCATCTCAATAAAGTTTGACAACACAGCGTTAGTCATGCAATGACGGCAAAGATAGTGTGCTGCACGTTCAGTGTTTTCGCTGTGCTTATTAACCTGTTGCTTTTTTTATTATTATTTTCTCGTTTCCGTCGTCGTTGTGGTTGCGCTGAGCTCGCTCTTAGCGCTTAATGCCGCTCAAAACAATTCTTGACATGCGACGATTTCGCAAGAAAAAATGACGATTTGATCTAAGATCTTTAAACAAGCGACGAAATCGACGACCGCGTGCAGGTACCCATACCTTGGCTCTATATTCATTTAGCTTAAATTTACGATGTGTGCATGTAGTTTGATTTTATCCGTGATAGTTTTTACTTGTTCATGTACTAAGAAACCTTTTATTATTACTCTGCAAATTATTGAAAATAGTGTAATCCCAGCATTGAAAACAATGATAATCTTGGGGGACCGGGGGGAATTCTATCGCAACTTGGACATAGCATGCATGATTTGAGTTCAAGAACTAGAACGGGACACCCAACACAGCAAGAAGGTTGAACTTGCCCCAATGTGCCCCAATGTAAAGATATGTAAGACAGTCTTAGATTTTGGGTTACACGCAGTGGATTCTTGATTCTGCATTTCGAAATTTCCCGTATTCCGGAATCCGGAATCCGGACTCCCTTAAATGGAGCGAGTGAACTCATTAGGATACCTTTACGAAAAGGTTAATGAAAATAAGAATGATAAGAGAGAAATAACCGTCGACGTCTTAAATTTCCCCTGGTACCGTCATTGACATCCTTCAATGCGTAACATTTATGAGCTTTCTAAACATTGTAATGATCAGTGTGACATAATAAAATGTAGTTCGAGGCAACTGAGTATTGCGTCTTTTTTGCGTTAAAACTATTGTTCAGTACCCGGTATTTATTATTTATTCAACCACCCCCCCCCCCCCCCCCCCCCCCCCCCCCCCCCCCCCGCCCTCCGTCGAAAACCGACCACAACACCACCTCCACACACACAAAACCTAAAAACAAAACAAAAAAAAAAAATAAAAAAAAAAAAAAGAAAATGCGTTGTTTGTAGTTCCATTCGATCTTCTTTGTATGTGATATAATAAAAAGTTGTTTGACGCCACTCTTGTTTGTTTTTTTTTTGTGTTGAAACCTTTGTTCACTCCCCCGTTTTTTTTATTTTTTCCCCCCCCCCCCCCCCCCCCCCGCCACCTGTGTGAGGCATTAATGTTGTGAAAAACTGCCGCAAAGATGTCTTGAACATCTATAACCATGCGATACCAAAAGGAAATGAAAGTTTTTTCAAAAAGGGGGAGTGGCTTTTTTTTTCCAATGCCACTTTTCCTGTTCCCTTTCTCATTTCAATCTGTACTGTTAAAAAGTTCAGCCTTCAATTGAAGCCTGGTTAGACTACGAGTAGTCCCAATTTTTTCTCAGGGGTAGTAGAGCGAGCGAAACTGCGAGCGGGCGTGAAAATCACCCCACCGCGTCTCGCCTTTCCCGCGTGGGGTGATTTTTACGCGCACTGACGTTTCTTTCGCTCTATTATCCCTTAGGAAAAATGAGGACTACTTCTGATCTAAAGCCTGGCTTAATGTTTTCGTCTTTTACTCTTTTTTCCTTTGTTTTGATTTGTTTTAATTTGTCGTTTCATTCAATGCGTACTTGTACGACTACCATGACTTCAGCTATTTGCCCATCTTGAACAGAAGTTAATCAAAGGTTGCTTAATAATATAAAATATAT